CATTTAGTTAGTTTCAAAAGTATTGATGAACGGTTGAGCTTTGATAAAACAACAGTGGAAGGGAGCTGTAAAAGTTGCATTAGAATGCTTTTTTCTGCTAGCTACGCATTCAGATCAGCGGTTTGTCGGCCTATCTACATTTAGGAAGGAAATCGTCCAGTTATATTACTTCAGGGTGACGACCTACTCTTGCACCGTTGAAGTAAAGATTCCATTTTGACGTAGCAAGAAATATAATTTAACAAGAATGTTTCTCCTGAAAAAAAGTTGATGTCAGATGTTTTTCTAACTCATCTTAAACTAAAACTTCTTAATTTTTTGTAATTTATACAAGAAAACAAAATCTTTAAACAATAAAGAAAATAACTGATTAATCTGTAAAAACCTGCCTACTTAAGCATTTAAATTTTTTGGCAGTTTTATACAGGTTCTCAAAAGTAAGCATTTTTTTGTGAAATGTTGAAAAGCTTATTTTTTCCATTATATTTCTCTTCTGTTTTTCAGTTTTCAATTTTTATGTGCCTTAAAACTTTGAAAACACAATTTTTTGATAAATTTTATCCATTTCCAGAACAGCAAAAATAATGCTGTTGCGACCGACGAATTTATTCAAAAAATATAGTTTCCAGTATTTTTGAGAAAAATCATCTTAATTTGGCACCCAGAACTCAATTTTAACCGTTAGAGATTCTTGTAGGAATGAAGTATTGCTTAAGAACCTAAAGTTTTACACAGAGTAGTCGATTGGCACACAGATGAGACAAAAATAAAAAATAGGAAGATGGCACAACAAATACTTTGCGAACTTACCAAATCGTGTGATGCAAATTAAGCATTGCAAAACACTTCTTAGGCGGTCAAAAATTATTCGTTTTAAGATTAAAATGTTGCTGATTATGAATGATAAAGGTAGCGTTATAACCGGGAAAGGAGCAGACAATACGTATATGTTCATCAGCTCTTTATCTGGTGGCAAAGCGGTCTCTATTGGCTTCAAGTAATAGTCACAATCTGATCGTGCATCTTACAGTGATCTATTCAGACTTTCTGAATGACGGGTAGAGAATTACTATAAAATTGTCGAGAACTAAATGAAATGAACGTCCAAAACATCCTTCAAAATTGCTTCAAAAGAAAGAAGCGTTATTACTGCATGATAAAAACAAGACAAACTGCTTACAATACTGTAAAAATATCCAAAATTTTTGACATGAAAATCCATTGCTTCCTGTCTATTTTCTGTATATTTTCTACTAACCAATACCTAATAAACAACTCTGCATCAATCATGTTGCAGAAACATATTTTTTGGTGTAACGCGCATCAAAACTATTTGAAGCTAATTTTGAATTTTTTGAACTTGTAAACTATCAGGACAGCTAAATGTAAAATAAGTTCTCAAACCAGCAGCTTTGCACAGCTTCTTCTAGTTTTTTGAGCAATAACAATAAGCTGGAAACCCGCAAACCTTTTCCTGTTGATCTGATAAAAGTGCTACTTTGACAATAAATTCTGGATTCTGTGAAAAGGTAAATCAGTTACAAACTTTTATCGTAAAAAATCTTAATACAAAAAATGTGTTTCATCGCATCTTTGCAACAGTGACAATCTTTAATGAGAGATGAATTAGTAGGAAAATTCTTGAGCTTTAAGTAACAAAGCCCGATATCTTCTGTTCGATAAATTTCAAACAATCTGAGACATTGACTAAAAAGCCATCATTTTGATATAAAAGTTTGATAAAATCGTCGAAAAAAGTGGTTCAATCTTGAATTACAGAGGACTTTATTGGACCCATGTAGAGTTATCCTTCAGCAACTTCATTAAAAAAAAATCCGCATTCTCAATAATACCTAACATATCATTCACGCAGATCAAGTTAAAAAATAGAATAAACAAACAAACTAATAACAATAACAGCTTGTACAGTTAGTACACTTAATAAGTCAAATAAATTATTAATATTGTTTCTATCATATAAATAGACAAGTAATTACTAACAGTTCAGTAAACCAACAACCAAACAACAGCTAAAATAGTCCCAACTTACTTCAGTTTTGAATACATGTCTGCAATAACTGAACTGTATTGTTTCTTAAAATTATTTCTCCTATTCTTGAACGTTGGCGTTAAAAGCCCATTTTCCACCGTAAATGGTTCTACGGTTAGATATATGTCTTTTACCTGAAAAAAAATCCGTCATTTAAACGTTTCCACTGACCAAATAAATACCTTTCGCTTTGAAGTGTGTCGTCTTAGGCGACTGGCATGAATAGAAAAAGTGACATAAGCAGAAAATGAAACTTTGTAAGCTTTAAAAACTATAAGACTACGAGCGCGAAATAAGGTAGCGTTAAAAAGAGAACGAGTAAAATGTACAGGCAAGTCGTAAAACATAAGAATTTTCTTTAATTCACTCTGATGACTAAAAATACACTATTTTTTTTTACAAACGATGAAATATGATTTGCAAATAACTCATAAATTAATATAAATTGCTCAAAAACCTTCAACTCCAAAACATTGAGGAAACATATCCAGTAGAAGGAAAGTAATACGATGAAAAAAACCCGCAAAACAACCAACATTCATCTTTAATTTCACATCAAGTTCTCATTTCCGCACTTTCCAGAGTTAATTGTACAACATTTTTTGAGCACTTTAGGAAAATCAACAGTTTTCTAGACTCTGTTTAATATCTTCTTTCCCCACCGCTAAAGAAAAGAACAGAACTGAGATAATTTTAGTTACAGTACTATCTAAATCAATACTTGCGCAGTCCTAAAGAACCTGAAATAATCGATATCCGGCAAAAGCCGTAAATTACCATAGACGACGAGTGGCGCTTTACACAAGTTGTTTGTTTAGAGGCGATTTCAGCAGTAGGAGCAACTTGATGTGGCTTGTACTAGAGGAATATCTCAAAGCATCCCCCGAAAATTCGAGCCAAAAGAGATGCAGCAATCAATGAGGAAGAATTAAATAGGAGAAACTAATAACATATTTCCATTAAAAATAACAGCCAACAGACACCGAGAGGAAGTCTTCCGTCATTGTCCCAAGATAATACAACACTTCCTATTTAACAATAAAGTAAACTTTGTCGGCACAAAAATGAACTTCTACCTCATCTCTATTATTGACTCAAGAGTTTTTGTGTCGGCTCCCAAGATTTTTAATGTTTACTCGCATTAGGAGTTGTAATTCAAATTTAAAGCTAATCGGATTTTAACCTAAGTGAAAAGGCCAGTAAGCTCAAAATCAGCGAATATTCCAAGTTACTTACTAAAAAATTTAATAATATTAATTTTTTGGTGATGTAAAATCAATGCGCTCTAATCTAATTGTATTGAAAAAAAATTTAATTGGTTGCACTCTCACCGCAAATACCAAAAAAATCGCACAAAATTAAAAGTTTTCGGAGTAAACAAAAAGATTTTAACACTCTTCCAGCAATAAATGGTAGATAAAACTAACGCATTCGAACGAAAACAATCCGTTTCTTCTGCCAATACTGTTCATATCGTTCATAACATGTCTTTTGATATTGACGTTAGAACAAATGTCACTCAGCGAAGCATTGTTCATACTGAAGCTTTCGGCAGCTAATTTCCTCAACATCTGGAATATCTGTCATTAACTGCTTGAAAAAGCAAAACTGCTCTTTCTGTCAAAAAGTAAATTATGAGTAAGACCGTCTATAACTGAAAATTTAGTTACTAGTTTTTGAAACAAACTTCAAACCACAATCCAACCATACCTGGTCATCTGGAACAACAATGGCTATCAGACTACATTTAAGGCTTTCACCATAAACAAAAGCTTGAGTTACGTACTGCGACCTAATGAATATATTCTCTATTTTTTCTGGTGCAATATATTCGCCCTAAATTATGCTACTAGACTTTGGCTTAAACAGTTAAACGCTACATTATTACAGCTGCAGTTAGTACACACTCAAAAAAAATGACAATCACATTGTTTTACTTCGCTTCTACGAAGTATCTTGTTTACTGCTGACGACACCTCGAAAGCACTTATTACGACGAAAAATGCCGGTCTACAGCTAAACAACTACGCAAATTAATAGTTTTAAATCAAAAGCGTAAAGTAGAGAAGAAAAGTATGACTCAGATACTTGTTGCAGTTTGAAAATGAATTTTTTCCTATCGATTATCTTCAAAGTACCATTTTTATTCCAGCTCCCAATATCACCAGTATGAAGCCAACCACTGCCATCTAATGCTTCACGTGTTGCTGCTTCATCTTTATAATACCCCTTAAAAACACTTGGACCTCTAACGCAAATTTCTCCAGCCTAAAAAATCTTTGTTCTTCATCTATTTCTTACCATAATTTTTAAATTACAGTTGGGAAAAACGTAAAGCGAAGAGTAAAAAGTAATCAAAGGGATTTAGAAAGACTGCTAAGCTCAATATGTTAAATCAGGTTAAAAAAGTGTTGAAATCTTTAAAAACGCTTCTTCACTTTAGAATTGCATCTTATACAGAAGAAACCCTCTAGAAATTAGAGTTAACAAAAATTAGGCTAAATTGATATTACGTTGTTCTTAGCAAAGTAACCAATCTCAGAGGCGTCGACCAATTTTACCGCCGTATTTAGCATAGGTGTGCCAACATGGCCCGCCGTAAAATCAGCTTCGACAGTGGCCGTACAAGCAGCAACGCACTCTGTCTGACCTAAATTTAAATATAGACTAAATACAGGGCGTGAAGACTAGTGACAATATATTTGCGTATAATTAAATAATCACCAAAAGGAATACGTTATCACCTAGATAGACCCCAGTAACCAGTAAAATAGCCAATCAACTGCAACAGTAATTTACTTTAAACCTACCGTATCCTTCCACTATCGAACATCCTAAAACAACACGTGAAAACTGTAGTACTTCTTGAGATACAGGAGCTGCACCCGTAAATATCAGCAGTAGATTCCCACCAAACTTTTGTCTGATTTTTTGAAAAACCAATTTGTCCGCTAAAGTTTCGTTGCAGAAATACTGCCTTAAAAATGTTTGCTCACTAACAGTTATTAATTGCTACACTTTATCAAGGAACCTTTCAAACGTTATCTGTATTGCATTTTCTTTTCGCGTGATTAGATAACAATATAAAATTGAAAGAAAAATAAAGAGGTCAAAACTGAATTTGTTTTTTTAAAATAAACACAGAGAGATATCAGATTTGCCTTTTTAAAAGAAATTTTTTCCATAAGACAGCCAGATGAAGTAAAACCAAAGCGAGAACATTTTTGCGAGCCTCATTTATAACCTGAAAAAGAATAATTTCAGGAACAGTAATAATTTGGCCTAGAGATGAATGACAAGATTCTGAGTTCTGAGCGCAACACCTGATATTGATGTACTTGAAGGATTTAAAAAAAGAAATGCATTGCTGAAAGCTATTGAATAAACTTCTTAAAGCCCATTCTACTCATTTTACTAATGTCTACGACCTGTAACTTCCTCTCATTCCTTTTTTCACTTGAGAGGTTCCTCTTTAAAATATGAAAAAATTAGCTACAGGATGACATTTAAAATATAAATAACATGTAATTTTATATGACCGAGAAGATGACACCAAGAGAAATTTTCCAAAAATAAGACCATTATGTCCATTTTTTTCGTCAAATATAATCCAAAAAAAATATCTTAAAAAATTATTCATCTTGGTAAGATTTATATGAAGAATAAAATTGCGTACGCGGTCGTAGATACGGTCTAAGACGCGAGGAACCATCGCCACTACAGTTGGCCTTAGTGCTTGCATATCATCTAGTAAATTTCGCACATCACCACTATAATAACCTATTCTGCAACCAATCGCAATGGCTGCATTTTCGCAGATTCGTTCATACATGTGGGCCAACGGTAAGAAACTTAGAAGCACTTGCTAAAAAACAATTACGTTAGGAAGCAGTAGAAAATTAACAAAAACGCACCTGCGGTTTGTGTAACAAACGTCAAAAGCTATGAACATGACATAAACGAACACTGGGAACCATTGCGAAACGCTTCACGTGGAAGAACATTACAGTTGTTGCTATCATATTCCCGTGAGTTAAAATCACACCTTTCGGGACTCCGGTGGTACCTGAGGTGAAGCAAATAGTGCTAATATCCTTTGGTCCTGGTTTCTGTAAAACAATCACTGAGTCGGAAGAATTATTTTATTCACTTTTTCTTGGTTCTAAACAAAAGACTAATTAGTGTTTTGATTGTCACAGGACTAAAAAAACAGCCATAATCTTATAAAACCACACCCACAACTTTAGCAAGAATTAAGTAACTACTGTGTTTTGGTGTCACTGTTATGAAAGGAAAGAACTACTGATACAACAAATTGCTATAAACCTCTCCTCATGCAAGGCGCAATGCAAATTTCTAGTGCAAATACAAGCGACATATCTAATATAATTTTTGAGTCGCTTAGAAAATTTGGAATAAATTTCACCTACAAATTCAAAGGTTTAAATATTACTGAATAGTAAAAATAGGGAAGAAATAAATGACAACTACTTATATATGCTGTTTAAACAGAACTCTATACCTGCCACAAAATAGTAAACATGTACCTTCCGATAAGAGAAAGACTTTTGCTACTAAAAAGAAAAGCTATTTTGATACTTCGAATTGAAAAGTTACGTATCACCGAAGCTTCATATAAAAAATTACTTTTTGCACAGAAAAGATCAAAATAATCACTGTGAAACTGCATATTAACATCAACATTTTAATACTTCAAAAATGTGACGACAGCTGTCTCCTAGAACATGATTGCCGATCAATTATAGAAACATTTCAGATAGAATTCAATACCAGAGTACCTGTTTTGCTGAGGATTTTATAAAAAGCCGGTTTGTATGCCTCAAACCTCTAAAATCACTAACAGTAATACTAATCCATAAACCTGCTTAAAAATAACAAAAAATTTTCATAAATGCCTTTGACTATTTATTGCTAATGAATAAGTAATAATATAAAGTTATGAGATGTTTGTAGTAAAACTGAATAGAGTTTTGACTAAATATCTCGGATATCTTCATAGTTTTTTAGATTGAGGACACTTTCAAGAACTCTGAAGTATTTGGAGGAGTTGTCAATACAAAATACACCCTACAACGTTGTTTAAAACGAAATGCTGTAGGTATTAAAAAGCCAAGGATTGCTTCTCAAATGAAATTCCAAACAGTTAACGGGGCAAAGAACATTCTGTTATATTAATGCATTAGTCTACAAGCTTAGAAAAGGCGATATACTAGTTACTAGATTTGGCTTGATGTAACTATCGCCTAGTATAACCAGTATCTCGCCTTAGAAAAGGCGATATACTAGTTATACTAGACGATAGTTACATCAAGCCAAATCCTGTGATCAATCTAATAATTTTCAGTAAGTTACAGGCCGTCTTTCAAAGAAGTTATTTTAATCAGC